AAGAGTGTTGGACTGCCAGTAGAATGAACAGGTTCGTACTGGAGAGAATGAGACCAGGCTGTTCCTTGGAGTCAAGGATTCTGAGGCTTCATCTGACATACTTTGGTCATGTTGCAAGGAGAGACCAGTACTTAGGAACATCCTGCTTGGAAGTGTGGAGGGACACAGAGCACGAGAGGAAGACTCTCAATGAGATGGATTGATTCAGTGACTGAGGTAATGAGAGTACGTGTCTCAGAGACAATAATGTTGGCACAGGATGGAGCAGGTTTAAGGGCTGCTGTACATAGGGTTGCTGTGAGTCACAAGAGACGCAATGGCACATAACAACAACAACAGCTGATGACCTAGTGGTAAGGAGCTACACTGGAATCCCAATGGCTCATGGTTTGAATCCCCCAGTTGCTTTCAGGAGAAGGAAGGAGAATCTCCTCCATGCAATCACTGTTTCTGAAAACCTGCCAGTCAGCTGTGAGTTGGGTCTGACGCAGCAGCACACAAAACCAACAATTCTGACTCCTTCTTTACAACAATAAACTTGAAAATAGTGAAGAAATTGTGAGCATGGCATAGGATAGGGTGAAGTTTTCTTCTGTTGCTTATGAATTCTAGTTGCCTTAAAGGGCACCTAAAATCAAAACAAATACAAATCTGAGGCTGTAGATCTTTCCACAAAGTCTGCCCATCCCATCTTTCTCCCCTGGAACCACAATTGAATTCAAACTTTATTTTGGTCATCAGTACAACACTTAACCCACTGAGCCACCACGTTTCCTTTGTGTTTGTGAGGGAAACTTAAGGGACTGTTTTTGAAATGCAAAGGGACTTTGTCTTAAAAGGGCTTCTGCCTCTATTTTATCTGTATGTCCTTTTGTTTGTCAAGTACTTGAAACTGAGACTGTAAATAAGTAGCAGCGGGCAGGTGGTAATAGTTTCCTTTGGTTTGTTTTAAAAGGTTTCCCCTGATTCTTAGAAGATTTACAGAGAGTAGGTTGGAAAGTTAATTTGGCAACAAAAAATTAATGAAGTAATTCCTTGAGTTGCATTAAAATTTAGTGTGTAAAACTGAGGTTGAGTGTTTTATTTTAATCCTAGCATTAAGGTAATTGTTTCAAGAAAATCAAGTTAAATATTGGTTGAATCCCAAGATTCTAATGATGTTCTAGAGAATATCATTTGAGAGCTAATAATCACACTTCATTAATAGTATCTCAGTAGAGTGGTCCTATAGATTATAATTGTATTGTTTATTTAAAGAAATTGTCAGATGTGTAAAGTAACTTGGTCATTTTAATCATTGCTAGTGGTAATCTGATTAGAAAAATTCCATTATTTGGCCCCATTCCCAAAAAAGATGACCCAACAGAATGTGAAATTATTGAACAATATCATTACTATAACATGCAAGCAAAATATTTCTTAAAATCACCCAAAAAAAGCTAGAATAGTACATTGACAAAGAGCTGCCAGAAGTTCAAGCTGAGTTTAGAAGAGTTTATGGCCCCAGGGATATCATCCCTAGGGATGTCAGATGGATCTTGGCTGAAAGCAGAGAATACCCGAAAAACATCTGTTTGAGTTTTACTGGCTATTCAAATGCGTTTGACTTTGTAGATAGTAACAAACAATGGCTAACGTTGAGAAGACTGAGAATCTCAGAGCACTTAATTATGCTCATATGAATCTTAAGCCATGAAACTGTTGTCTGGATGGAAGAAGGAACACTGCATGGTTTAAACTAAGGAAAGGTATGTGTCAAGGTTGTATCCTTTCTCTGTACATATTCAGTCTACATGCTGAGGAAATCTTCAAGAAGCTGTCCTCTTTGAAGAAGAAGATGGCATTAGGATTGGCGGAAAAATCATCAATAACCTATGTTATGCAGATGATACAACCTTGCTTGCCTGCTGAAAGTGAGGACTTGAGGCTCATCATCAGGGATGATGAGGATAGCACAGGATAGGACAGAGTAGTGTTCAGGTCTGTTGTTCATACAGTCACTATGAATTGTACTTGACTCAAGATACTTAACAAAAACAACAAATAGTTGCATGATTACTGGCCCAGTCCTCATATTATTTCACCTCTCAGCAACTGAAATGGTATCGTTTGGCTGTTTTATGATTACTTATGCATTCTCCTTTTGTTTGACATTGTAGTAGATGTTCATGACTTCATTTCCTGGGGGTGGAAATTTTTTTTTAATTAAAAAAAAATCTGCAGATGATACAACCCTGCTTGCTAAAACTGAGGAGGACCTGAAATGCTTGCTGCAGGGGGACAAGGACTGTAGCCTTCAGTATGGACTGAGGCTCAATGTCAAGAAGACAAAGATTCTCACCACTGGACCAATTGGCAACATCAGGATGGATGGTGAAGAGATTGAAATTGTTCACAGCTTTAGTCTGCTGGGCTCCACGGTCAATACTCTTGTCACCAGTAGCCAGGAAATAAAAAAACATATTGCTATGGGAAAATCTGCTGTTAGGGACCTCTCCAGGGAGACTAAGGTACATCTGATACAGGCTATGGTCTTTGCAATCACTTGTTATGCATCAGAGAGTTGGACAATGACTAGGGAGGATGGGAGGATAGAAGGAGAATTGATGCCTTTGAGCTGTGGTGCTGGAGAAGAGTATTGAATGTACCATGGACTGCTAAGAAAACAAACAGATTCACCCTGGAGAGGGTTAAACCGGGCTGCTCCTTGGAGGCAAGGATTCTGGGGCTTCGTCTGACATACTTTGGACATGTTGTAAGGAGGGACAGGTCCTTGGAGAGGGGCATCATGCTTGGGAGGGTGGAGGGACAGCGCAAGAGGGCAAGGCCCTCTATGAGGTGAATTGATTCAGTGACTGGGGTAATCGGGATGGGTGTGTCAGAGGCAGTGTGATTGGCACAGGATAGAGCAGGGTTTAGGGCTGTTGTACATAGGGTCACTAGGAGTCGCAAGCGACTCGACGGCACATAACAACAAACAACCACAAGGAAGAGGCATGTTGTTGTTGTGTACTATCAAGTCAGAACTGACTCATAGCTCACTCTCGGCAGGTTTTCAGAGGCAGTTAATCACATGAAAGTTGATTGCCCATCCTTCTTCCATGGAGCAGCTGGTGGATTTGAACCACATGCCTTTGTGGTTGGAGCGCAGCTTCTTGCCAGTAGGCCACCAGAGCTCCCTTAGCACAGGTCCTTAGAAACGGACTCTAAATATGCTCAGGCTTAGTTGGAAGCCTTTGTGGTTGAGACCATTGAGTTGATTGCAATTCAAGCTCTCACCATGTGACTGCAGAAAACTGAGAGACAACTCATGGCACCTGACAACAGCAACAACAGGCTGTGATCTTTATGGGGACAGATCACCAAGCCTTTTCCCACAGAGCTGCTGAGTGAGTTAGAACTACCAGCCTTTTCGGTTGGCATCTAAGCACTTAACCCATTGTACCTGCAGTGCGCCTTCTGTGCTTTTAGTTCTGTATTTATTTTGTAAATCTGTGCCCATAGAAGCCTTTCACAAAGATGGCCCTCGTGCACTCCTTTAGAAAGCGGATCTTTAAAGGAACCCTGGGGCAAATCCTTTTGGGAGGCAAATGCCTCTCTGAGGAGCCTGGCATGTTTAAGAGGAAACGTCTGGCATGTTTGTAAAAGCCATTAGAACTTTTTTATCAGCACTTGACCTTGGTAATGAGAGTAATCAGTGTAATGGGCTCCGCCTTGAAGAGAATTGCTAGTCTCCCTCCAGCTTGTGACCCCAGACCCCCTGTGATCCCGGATGCCCTGCTCCTTACATTCTGCAGTGCCAGGCATTCCTTCCTGGGTCTGGCAGACTCCTCCAGCTGCAATTCGACTTCGTATTAAATCCCACAGTGGCTACAGGCAGTTTGGAATCTAAGTTCAGTTGAGAACTAAAAATAAAATGAGGGAATTATCCTGGTGCTTAACAGTCTGAGTCTAAAAGCTGGCAGAGCCTCCGAATTGCTTGTATTTTTTACCTGGAATTACACAATCACTTGTTTTGTAGGTCCGAGATTTTGGTGTTTTATTCAGACACTGGCTTTAAATTCTGGGTCCAGGCCTTACTCCATCCCACACCGGAGTAAACAGTTTCATTACCTTGTCATTGTAAAGTGTAAATATGTGTGTGGGGTTAATGATGCTGTGTACCTCCTAAGGCTACTGTGAGGTCCAAAAGAGAATCCTTCTGGCTCCAAACTCACTGTCTCAAGCCAGCCCTTCCTCACAGCTGACACTCCAGGGGTTTTCAGAGGCTGTAAGTCCCACGGGAGGAGATTGCCCATCTGTGTCCTGAGAAGCTGCTGCTGGATTCGAGGCTCCAGAGGGGCACTGCCTTGCGAGCAGCACAAGTGAAGTTGTAGGACAGTGTGAGGATGGTGGCATACTTGCCATCAACTTGGCCGCTAACAGATGTTAGTTCCTTGCACAGACAGCACAGCAGTTCCCTGCCCACTCCTCCTGAGACCCTTAGGGCTTCCGTTGGTCTTTCTTCCCTGTCATTCATATTCTGGACGCTCTGCTGAGACCTGGTCAACATCTTAACAACCCTCAAGCCTCTACTGGTGGATAAAGGGTGATTGTGTGTGAGGGGGGGCGGGGGGGACTCAAAGCCAGGTCTTCCACACGAAAGAAGAGAATTCTACCACTGAATCACCTCTGAGAGCTTTAAAAAGTCTTAGTGATTTGCACTGTAAGTAGCTTGTTATCTGTTGTGCTATGATTGTTAGTTCCTTCGGTTCGAGCCTGGCTCATGGCAGCCCGTGTGTGTAGAGACCACACAGGTTTTTCAGCCTCTTGGAAGCAGGCCACCACGCCTGTCTACCAAGGCACCTCTGGGTGGGTTCAAACAGCTGGTAGTTGGACACTGGACTGTTTCTGTCACCCAGAGACTCCTCAATGTATTCGTAGAAATGATCAGCAGAAGAGGAGAAAACTCTAGAGAGAAAAAAAAATTCTCATTTTTTTATGCGCTGTTCCCCCTGCAGAATGTGACAAGCTGCGGCGAGATGGTTACCGGAGCTCTCAGTACTATTCTCAGGGACCCACCTTTTCCACCCACTCCAGCCCGCTCTGTGACGATTATCAAGATGAGGACGAAGAAGCAGATCCAAAGGTAAGACTGCTGAATTCAGCATACTGTTCTGGGTTGGATCCTGGAACAGAAAGAGGACTATCCAGTGAAATCAAAATAAAGCTGCTGTCTTCTTTTTTAAAAAAAATTGAATTAATAGTGTTTGACGTAGTCCGTACTGAGTTGTGTTGCTAAATCACAGGTAAGACCTTTTAGGGGGTTGAATCTATCAGTAAATCGATAAGAGAAAGAAGAGCCCCTGCCTCCTATGTGGTTTACAGCCCCTGAAAGCCCGCTGAGGGGTCACCTTTGAATTGATTCTGACTTGATGGTTGCTGGGCTAGACTCTAATTCAAGGCAGCAACAATGAGTGGAACTTTGATTTGGGTGGAGTTTACAAAGCAGCCTAGGTTTCCTTTAACCTCATACTTATTTTGCTGTGGAATATTAGTTACAGTGCCTACAGTGTAATCACACTTTCCCCTTTTCCTCCTTGTGATTCTCATCTCCCTTAATCCTTCTGCCTTGCCCCTTGCTGCTTTGTGGTTTTATCCTTGGGTAGATTCTGTTCTTTTGACATTAGATGGTTACTGAGAAGAAAGTCTTTTTAATCCATTGCATTTTTCTGAGTTACTGTTGTAGTTTTAACAAATGTAACATTTGACAAATATTAGATGCTAACATTTGGGGGAATCTGGGTCAGGAACGCAGAAGGAACTAAGTACTATCTCAACAACTTTTCTATAAGTCTATTATTACCCTTACATCCACCCTCAAAACAAAAATTAAGATCGGGCCAAGGGACAAAATTCAGTACATTTTTCATTTAAAATTTTCCTTGAGTAGAAAAGATTGTTTTATTTATGTTGCTTTGTTTTTCATGTGACCCCAATCCCAGTTTGATTACCCAAAAAAAAGTCCAGAGAATGCCAGCAAATGAAACTGCTTCGCAATTGGACAGTATTTTTTATATAAATTTATAATACATATCTTTATATCTGTATCTCTCTCTCGAAACTGCTTCACAATTAGACAATATTTTTATATAAATTTATAATATATATCTTTGTATATCTCTCTCTCCATATATTTAATAAGTTTCTATAAGCCATTCTGCCTATACTTAATTAAAGGAGCCCTGAGGATACAGTGTATATCATAGAAGCTGCCAACCAAAAACTCAGCAGTTGGAGTTTGTCAAGTTGCTCCACAGGAGACAGATTTGCAGCCTCAGAAACTCCATGGAAGGTTGCTATGAGTTGAGCCTACACAGTAGTGTCTATTTACTATTAAAAACAGGAAACAGCAACAGCCAAAAATACTTCAAGCCTAGATGACCTTGAACTTCGAGTCTTTCTGTTAGCAGCAGATCCCGTTAGCCCTTTGCACTCAGAGGTGCCAGTAACATTAGAACCCTCTGTCATTAGGTCAGTTCTGATTCATAGCAACCCTGTGAGGCAGAGTAGAACTGCCCTTTGAAGCTTCCAGGACTGTAATTTTTGTTCTTAATTGTGATTTGGTTGAAATTTTACAGAGAAATTTTTTTTGTCCCTTTACTTATCCATACATATTTTGTTTTATGACATTAATTGTTGTTATATACCGTCAATTCACCTGCAAACCATAGTGACCCTATGTACAGCAGCTCTGAACCCTGCCTTGTCCTGAGCCAGTCTTGCTGACTCTCACACAACAACCCCTATTGCCCCAGTCACTGTATCAATCCATCTCATCCGAGGTCTTCCTCTCCTGCACAGTCCCGCCAACCTTCCGAGTCTGATGTCCTTCTCCAAGGACTGGTCTCTCCTGGCCATGTATATGAGATGAAATTTCAAAATCTAGTCTCCAAGGAGAAACTCGGTTTTGCCCTCTTCAAGATAGTCCTATTTGTTTTCTTGGTAGTCCATGGTATGTTCAAGACTCTTCTCCAGCACCACAACTCGAAGGCATTAATTCTTCTTCTGTCATCCTCAGTCTTTGTTCAGCTCTCTGATGGATAACAAGTAATTGCACAGACCATGGCTTGAATTAGGTGCACCTTAGTCTCTAGACTGACATTGTTGCTCTTCAGCACTGTGGAGAGGTCTCTGACAGCAGATTTTCCCGGTGCAATTAGTCTTTTGATTTCCTGACTGCTGGTGCTAAGAGTGTTGATGACAACACCCATATTGTACTCACTCCTTTCACGGTTGTGTACCTCCTCATGTTTTCCTTTACTTTAGGAAAATGCAGTCATCTTTCAGGATGCTTCCTATCTCGTTTGTCTCTGGAGGAGCAGCAAGCAGATTCAAATACTGGCCTTTTCTGTTAGCAGCCACACACTTAACAACCACTGTGCCTCCAGGGCCTCTAATTAACCGTTGACAAGTTCACCTCTGCGAGCTTGTTTTACATTCAGGTTCCATTATCTCACACTATCCGCTTTACCTCACACTATCCCGAGATGAACAGATGAAGAGAAGTAGGTTTTCTGCTCCCGAGTGAACGGCAGGCAGTTTGAACTCATCGTCTGTCATCTTCAGGAGAAAGATGAGCCGTTTCCTCTTGTGCGATTTACAGCTTCTGAAAACTCCTGGAGGGTCATTTAGGAGTTGGTGCTGACCCAGCAGCACCAAGTTTAGTTTCATTCTGTTTCCAATACTAAATGCGCTTGAAATACCACAGCTTATGTGGGCTTTGACTTATATTTATTTACAGTTTATTAAGTAATAGGACTGACACTAGAGTTAAATGAATTACGGTTTGAATAGTATGGCTTTATTCAGGAATAATGTTTAAGAATTTCAATGGAATTCTGTCAAGACATAAATGTCTGTGGATGGAGAACATTATTAAAAATGTACTCTTTTCTTCACATTGTTGTTGTTGTTGTTGTTAGGTGTCATCAAGTTAAGTAAGAGTCATAGCAACCTTATGAACAACAGATCTGAATCTTGTCCCATCCTGTGCTGTCCTTACCATCTCTGATATTCTTGGGCTTTTTGTTGCAGTTACCATGTCAATCCATGGTAACTAGATAGACATTTGTCAGTCATTGGGGTAATCCCCAATCCAAGGTTGAGTGTCTTCCTCTCTTTTGCTGACCCCTCCATGTTTCCAAGTAGAATATCCATTTCCAAGAAATAGGATCTTCTAGCAGTATGTCCAAAGTATGAGAGATAAAGCTTTGCCTCCAAGGATCACTCTGGCTACACCTTTTCCAAGACATACCTGTACGTTCTTTTGGCACTTTTGGGACATTCAGTACTCTTCTCCACTACCCAAACTCAAATGCATCAATTTTTCTCATCTTTCTTCATTTCATTGGCCAGCTCTCAGATGTATAGCAAGTGACTTAAAAGACCATGGCTTAAATCGGGCACATCCTAGTCTTCAAACTAAAACCATTGCTCTTCAGTATTTTGGAGAGGCCCCTGATAACAGACTTGCCTGAAGCAATATGTCTTCTTGTCTCCTGACTGCTGGTACTAAGGGTGTTGATTATGGATCCAAGTAAGGTGAAATCATTGACAGTTTCAAAGCTTTCTCCATCTGTCATGACTTTACCCATTTGACCTAGTTGGAAGGACCTTTGTTTTCTTGATGTTGAGGTGAAATCCATATTGAAAGTTGTGGGCTTCAATCTTCTGCAACAAACATTTCAAGTTCTTCTCACTTTTGGCGTGCAAGGTTGTTGATGAGTCTTCCTCTGATCCTGATGTCACATTCTTCTTCATATAGTCTAGCTTTGCTCAGCCTACAGATTGAATATGGATGGAGAAAGGATACACCCTGAAGTGTATCTTTCCTGATTTTAAACCATACCATGTTTCCTTGTTCCATTCAGACAGTAATTTCTTTAAGTATTTATTTCACATGAGTACAGACTAAGTGTTCTGGGCTTCTCATTCTTCTCAATGTTAGCCATAGTTTGTTGTAACTCACATAGGCAAATGCCTTGCAGTAAATAGTCAATAAAACACAGCTGTACATTCCTCCAGTATTCTCTGCGTACAGCCAGGATCCATCTATCTGACATCAGCAGTGATATCCCTGGTGCCACGGCCTCTCATGCCACAGATTATTCTAAACTCAGCTTGAACTTAAGGTGGTACTCTGTTAATCTACACTTCAGCCATTTTTGGATGATCTTCAGCAGTATTTTCCTTGTGTGTGATATTAATGATGTTGTTTGATAATTTCCATATTTTGTTGGATCACCTTTCTTGGAAATGGGAACAAAGATAATCTCTTCCAGTCAGTTGACCATCATCCAAATTTCATGGCATAGATGAGTGAGCACATCCAGGGTTGCATTTGTCAGCTGAAACATGTCAATTGGTATCTCATTTCTTCAGAAAACCTTGTTTTTGTGTGTGTGGTTAGTTGCCGTTAAGTCGAGTATATCTCACAGCGAACTGTACAACCAACAGATTGAACCCTGCTTTACCCTATGCCAGCCTCGTGATCTCTGGCACCCTTGTGCCCATTGCTGCAGTCACTCTGTCATCTTATTGAGAGGTTTTAGTTCTTTGCTGACCTTCCACCTGTTTCTCATTTTGAGTGACTTCCAATCTGGGCTCTTCCTCCTACTGTTACCTCCCTTATCCCTTTATTGTTTTCAAAGTTTTCAGAGGTCTGTTACTTCAGAAGTGGATGACCAATCCTGCTTCCTAGTCTGTCATAATCTGGGAGCTCTACTGAAACCTGCCCACCAAGGGTGATCCTTCTCACTCTTGAAACACCAGTGGTATAGCTTCTAGCATCACAGCAACTCAGAGGTTACCCCATGCAAAAAACCTGACAGACAAATGCTGTATTTATAAGAGCAAATGATAAACAAGCAAGCATCTACATACCTAAACTATACAATAATCCACCGCATGCTAATCATGCCCTCAACACAGCAAACTGACAAATAGCTGTTGTATCTCTGACAATAAACTGTAAAGACAATTAGGCATAAAAAGATAGTAAAGTGAAAAACAGTAATACATCAGTTGGTCAAAAGTAGGAAATTGTTTTTGGTGTTCTAATGAAAGTTTTTATCACAGAATCTTTTT